TCATCTTTATCATTGTTATCATCATTATAATCATTATCATTATTATCATTATCTTCATTATTACCATTATCATTATTATCATCATTATCATCATTATAATCATTATCATTATTATTATTATCTTCGTTATTACCATTATTATCATCATTATCATTGTTATTATCATTATCATTATTATCATCAGTATCATCGTTATCATTATTATTATCATTATCATTATTATCATCATTATCATTATCAACACTATTACCATTATTATCATTATTAAAATTATGATTTTTATTGTCAGGTTATGCAGTGTTAGATCTTGTGCAAACTGCTATGTGCCATAATATTATTGCATTTGATAATGCTATCAGATCTGTTACTGTGACTTTTGTTTGGTATTGTAGTCTGTGATTGTGATTATTGTAGTGACTGGTCTATTGGTTGTGATAGCGGTGATAAAGTTGGACTTGGTAATGTGTTGGTATAAACTGCCCGAACTGGTCTTTCCACTCTACATATTCCCGATGCTTTTGGCCGGTTGTACTGCACACACCATCATTGCACAACGTTCGAAGGTCAGTAGTGTTAGGCAGAAATTTTGTGTTACATCCATATTTGTTGTCAAATTATCAGTTGTGGTTCAGATATTAACTTAACATTTTAATATCAATCAACTTAATATCTTGATATTAATGTCTATAAAAATTACTTTGATATCAATCTCATCACCTTCATTAACTCAAAAATTAATTTAAAATCCCACGACTTTAATATCAATTTCATAAAATTAACTTTGTATCAAATTAACATTTTAATATCAATCAACTTAATATCTTGATATTAATATCTATAAAAATTAACTTGATATCAATCTCATCACCTTCATTAACGCAAAAATTAATTTAAAATCCCACTACTTTAATGTCAGTTTCATAAAATTAACTTTATATCAATTTAATATCTTAATATCGTAGAAACGTGTTGGAAAGGAACTTTTCAAAGTGAAAAATTGGATTCATTTCTCTTTTGTTTTTTCGTTTGTTTTCCGTTGGTTCATTGTTAGTTACGTATAAGGTGTTTGTGTAGAATGAGAGAGTAATTTGTAACGCGAGAATGTGAAACGTTTGTGAGTGATGAAAGGAAATGGAATGAGCGATTTTTTTTTTTGAAAGATAAGTTATCATTTTTTCGTGGAAAATTGCGAAAATTTCAGATACGAAACGCAGAAATGGTTCATTTCGATAGTATTCTGTTGATATTTGCCACAATTCTTGCCGTCATGACATTCTACGGCATTGCCAGTGCATTCTTCCTACTGATACATGCGTTGTTCCCGTTGTTTCGAGATCCGATCATATATTTGCTGGGCAAATTGAAAATTATTGACAGTAAGATTTGCAGATTTCATTTTCATTTTCATTACAACTTTTCATTTGCATTTGCGTTTTTGAGTTCAGTTTTTGAATGTTTTCGTCGTGTTGAAAGGTTGTCGCGGAAAGTTTTCGTGTTGTACGATTTTTTTCTAGAAAAGAATAGAGATTACACTTCAGGTTCAGGTAGATTGATGATCTCTGCATAGTGTTATTGACAAATGATTGAATAAATTCAACTGAAATGAAATCTGTGCTCTGGAATGTGTAGTATAAACTTGGTGATACGAAGCGGTTTAGAGTGATACGTGAAATCAGTGGGTAATGTTCATGAGTATTAAAATGGCTAGATGGAATATATGATTGTTGATTTGAGTGAAAGGAAAGGGGAGCTATGAAGTTGAGTTAGGAACTAACGATGATTTGTTGGTATCGTTTGCAGTGTAGAAATTGAGCCAAGCAATAATATTTTTAGGAGTCAGTGTAGAAATTGAGCCAAGCAATAATATTTTTAGGAGTCAGCACAAGATGTTTGCTGTGTGCACAATTACTGTGTACAGTGCCAGTGATTGTGTTCGCCACTTATGCGGTTATGATGCTATTCGATTTCTTTGTACCGCTATCGGGACGTACCGGAAATGTGTTCAATCCGGAATTAATCATCATGCCTCTGTCGTTTCTTACAGCATTTTCATTTGTTTTATACACGGTACGATTTGCTTGATGAGCAGCAATTACATGAGAAGAATTACAGCAGCAGCATTAATTCATTAAGAGTTTATACGTCTTTGATATGACATTTTGATATTTTATCATTTTTTAAAATATTTCTTTTAATATGAGATGATAGTGTAATATGATGTGATATAATTTAATATAATAGTAATAGCACATTTTTGTTTCGTTGAGACGATAACATTCTTCTTTCATCCCGTACGGTTAACGATAATAGCATTGGGAAGCATTCATCTGTTGTCTTCATGAAATTATAAACTTGGATTTTTGACTAGACAAGCACAGAGATTTTGGGCTATTTTTTCTTATTGTCCAATAATTCGGGGGAGGGGGGAAAGGGACTGAAAGTAAGCCCGAAAATACGAAAAAAGTTGACGAATCAAGAGAGAAAGGTGCGATTATTGAAGAGGAATGGTCAGTGGTGTCAATTTCAGAACAATTTAATGTATGTGAGTCGTCGACTGGACTATTTGATGAAATGTGGATTTGCATTATTCGTATTGTTTTTTGCCGTGATCGCAACCACACGACTGGGATGGCCATATCAGTACACGAAGGAAAGTCCACGACTGAGGCGTATCGTAGCGTTGGTGCGTGGTGGTTTTGTTGTTGTTGTTGTATTTGTAAATTTCATTTGATAATTTGAAAAGAGTATCAAAAATTTATAATTGATTATTTGATGTGTCTGTCAAAAAATGCAGATGAGTGTTAGCGATGAGTTGTGGCGGAAATAATTTTGTTTGTTCAAAATTCATACAAATCGCTTGTAGCAGAAACTGGAGAAAGATTTGAACGAGATGTTTTGAAATGTTGTTGTTTTGGAGCAAATAGTCGTCATCGTCAGTTTGAAACAATTAGGTTTGGGTTTGCAACTGAGAGTATTGCTGTTGATTTTACATTTAAGCTCATTTTTAGGCCGTATTGCTTGTTTTGTTGCTTTTTGTTGGTCATTTTAAAGGCATTAACAAGTATTAGTCATTTTTTGTGATTGTTTTTTTTTTTGGTGTTTCTTCGATTATTGTCATTCGTAATCAGTGGAGCGGCTGGCTGGCAGTTCGGAGGACATCGGAATGTATATAACGAAATTGAAGAAATTTCCTAATGAAAGCCTGAATTTCTAATGAAACTCCCTCCCA